ACGTCATGCCGAGATTCATAGAGAGTCGAACAATTCATCATACGTTTTGTGTTATTAGGTTTGATGTTTCTTTCGTCTTCCATTAATTTTTCGTGTATTGGCTGCTGCACAAGTGCTGTCCTTTTGCAATTTCCAAGTTCAATATACCTTTTTTTTTTAAATCAAACTTTTTTGGACAAGTTTGATTTCTCTGGGTTAGGCAAGCTTTTTGCTATCGAATGAATTACATGCCTGACAGGAAAACGCTACTGCAGAAGAGCCAGGATTGCGAAGATTTTGCGTTTTTTTCTTTCAACCTATCTTTCCTTGACATCTTGCTGTTCCCCTAGAAGAACTGGCAAGCATCATTAGTAGCTATCGTTGGATACCACAAAGAGTCCTTACAATTTTTGAGACAAGGATTCTGAGAACATGAAAAAAGGCCGATTTCTTGCCTGACCTTTTGTGCACGCATTCGTGGTCTTTTTTCTGGAAGTTACACAAATGTCGCAAGCGTTGAGGAGTTACTGCTGTATGGGATCTGCTAGCTCTTGCTTTACTCTTCCACCTCCATTCTACTCATCGATTTGCATCGATTGCCTTCATTTGGAGAATGTCATTGACCTTAGAACATCTACATTAAGCATTGATTTTTGAAAGAGAATTACTGCATATGTTAGCAAATTACGCCCGTATTCTATGTCCAACAAAATAACTTGGCAGAAGCATTTTGGAGATTCTCATATAGGAATGTGTTTCTTGGTAAAGACCATATTTCTCTTACCTGCGAGTTTGCGACTGCGTTCTTGTTGGACGGGAAATCTCCAAGAAATTCATATATGACAAAAAGAGCAAGAAAAACGCGTTCTGTAGAAGCAGACATTTTTGCATTACACTTGAAATCTCTTTGAACAGCTGCTTCAAGCACAAGACTAGGATCAGACAGAACTTATGCAGCAGGCTTAGTACATCAACATTTTGAGAGCGTGAGACTTTTCTTATTATCATCGCATTTTCGAATTTCACCATTTATAGTTTTGCTTTGTCGCATAAAAATGTATATATTTATTTTTATCGCGTTTTCATAGCTAGGAGCCCTTGATGCCACTGTTCACACGGTTATGGCAAACAAATTTGGAATTCGTGGATTCCCCACAATCAAATATTTCGCACCTGGATCAGAGCCGAGTGATGCCGTAGATTACGACGGTGGTAGGACTACTTCTGACATTGTAAGCTGGGCAAGTGCTAAAGCTCTTGAAAGTTTACCTGCTCCGGAAGTTGTCCAGGCTACAAACCAGCACATCGTTGAGGGTCAGTTCTGTGCCTATTTTTTAGGTGCACCATCAATAAGTCTGTTTTCAGACCAGTGCAAGGAGAGGCAATTGTGCATATTTGCTTTTCTTCCCCACATCCTGGACTGCCAGTCTAAATGCCGAAATGATTACCTTGCTGTCCTTCGTGAGCTGGGTGACAAATTCAAGAAGAATGGATGGGGGTTGGTTGCTTCTAACTGTCCTTTTCTAACTTGTGAGGATGAATCGGTTCGGCTCGAAAGGTGAAGTACCTTTTGCCTTCAAAAACAATTCATGCATAGTTTGAAGCAAGACATTATTATTGCTTCATTGATTTGAACACGTCGTACCGATTTGGTACATTAGTGTTTCTCTTTTCTATTGTAAAGCCATTGCTCAAGTTTTACTAGACTCGAGACTGCGCAAGTGTGGCGCGAATTCTTTTACAACGTTTCCGAGTGCGGGAGATAAATAGGCCACTGTTCATCCCTGGTGCAGCGAATGTTCTTAATGCAAATTTATCTTTGCTTGGTTCGACTCTCCTATAATGCCACTAGCACGTCGCCAAACCTATAGCACGTTATTGTCTCACCCCACATCACATTCTTAGATGGATCTGGGTCGAGGGTGGAGCTCAGCCTGAGTTGGAAGAAGCCTTTGGTATTGGAGGTTTTGGATACCCTGCTATGGCTGCAATGAACTACAGAAAGATGAAATTTGCTATGTTGAAGGTAATTCTTGTGTGGAACAGGAACTTTGCTTGTTTATCACTTCCAAAACTGCTCTTATATAGTTGCTTTCGTAGGGTTCATTTGGTAAGGAGGGCATCAACGAATTTTTGCGTGATCTCAGTTACGGGAAAGGACAAACCGCTCCCGTTAAGGTAGGTGAATTACATTGATAGTAAGAACGACATACTCAACTTTTCCAGGGCGCTACTTTCCCAAAAATTGTGAAAATGGAACCATGGGATGGCAAAGATGGTCAGCTTCCGCCTGAAGAAGATATTGATCTTTCCGATGTTGATCTTGATCACACTGAATTGTAACGTCTATAGGTCTAGGTCATCTAAATGGTTTTAGTTCAGTGCGCAATATTTGAGTTCTTTGTTCGAGTAAGTTGTGACTTGACTCTAATTTTTTGTCGGGTTCCTTTGTTTAATCATGATTGATTTGGGGTGTTGAGATCGTTCACCAGTTCATGGGTTTTCTGTTCATCGAATTTGCGCTATTTGCGAAGGATTTAAGTTTTGAACTTATCGTTCGTTCCACAGTTGCTGCTACCCTTGGCCTGCGCCTCTGATCTGGACACGTGTTGCCAACATATAATATATTGACGCACGTGGCCAATATGTTGCAACATGCAGCAACATATTAGCGCTGAGGCCAAAACCAAAATATCCTGTCAGCATGT